CTACATCTCTTCTACTGGTCATTTGGATCATGGTCATTATCTATGCTCATGTGATCTCAGGGGATTATCAACCATGGGTCTTAAAGGGAAACTAAGTGGTGACATTGGGGAACTAACTGAATTGAGATCCTTGTGAGTTTCCTTCTCACCATGTTTTTTCACCTGTTGTACAGAACTTTGCATGTGCTGGATTACTACATGAAGGATAGTCAATATGGAATTCTGTTTCTCATTGGTCTATGAACAATTCTAAATCACATCTATTGCATATATTTTTCTTACTTTTAAAATTATTTAACCATAGGGACCTGTCATTTAATCGGGATCTCACTGGTTCTCTGTCTCCACATTTGGGGGATTTGAAAAAGCTGAATATCCTGTAAGATGGCTACTTTACTGATTTGATGAATCCAGCTTTCTGCTCAACTAGCTTCCCCATGATATGAATTTGTGTATCTTCTGCTTATTTTTCTTTTGGTATCCCATATTTTCAGAATCCTAGCCGGTTGTGGCTTCACTGGTAATATTCCAGAAGAGCTTGGAAAGCTTGCTGAGTTATCCTTCTTGTAAGAATTGCCATTACTACTAATAAAACTACATAAATCAGTGCAAAGTAAAGACCTTTTATGCCTATTCATTTCAAAACTACCCATGTTTGCAGTGCCCTGAATTCAAATAATTTCACTGGTAGAATTCCTCCATCTTTGGGAAAGCTGTCTAAACTCTATTGGCTAGATCTGGCAGACAATCAGCTGATGGGATCAATCCCAGTTTCAACACCCACCTCCCCAGGATTGGACCTCCTTTTAAAGGCTAAACACTTGTAAGTTTACTTTCCCAACATTCCTTCAGTGTGAAAGATAAGAAAGGATGAAAGTACCTGATCGTTATGTAGTTATGAGTTCAGATCACTGAGTATTGACCAAATAAGAGTTTCATTGTTGTGAACTTGCAGCCATTTCAATAAAAATAAGCTTTCAGGTACCATTCCGCCAAAACTTTTCAGCTCTGAGATGGTACTAATTCACATGTAAGTTGATATCCACCCATCCATCAATTTAGTTTGTATGACATTCCTCCTCCTAATGGTTCATAGCGTTGCAATGCCAGACTATTTGATGGAAATCAATTTACTGGGAACATCCCATCGACGTTAGGACATGTTCAGACTCTCGAGGTTCTGTGAGTAAAAACTCCCTTGACATCATTTTCTTTCCTCTGCAGCTTTACTTTGTTATATTAATTTTCCTCTGTAAACACTAATGGGAATGCACACATTCCAATCCAAAACAGTCGACTTGATAGAAACGCTTTGACAGGAAAGGTCCCTTCAAATCTCAACAACCTTACAAACATCAATGAATTGTGGGTATATATTTTTTACTTTTTCAGTTTGATAATATTGTGGTTAATGAACTTACTTCCTGATGCAAATTTTGCTTTCCTTCAGGAATTTAGCTCACAATAAACTAACTGGCCCTTTACCAGACTTAACCTCAATGAATACACTCAATTATGTGTAAGTCAGAAGAATAGGAGTTTCCTTCTTCAGATGTGATGGTTTATTTGTTTTTCATAGTAATGAATCCTGACTCCCTTTCACTTTACAGGGATCTTAGTAACAATTCATTTGACCCAACAGAAACTCCAGTCTGGTTCTCAACCTTATCGTCACTCACCACTCTGTGAGTAATTTGTAGTAGCCAAAAAAGAATCTGAGTCTTCCTTCAACTGTTGTAACTTACGCAAAATTTCATAATTTGCAGAGTTATTGAACATGGATCACTTCAAGGGCCTCTACCGCAAAAGCTTTTTAGCTTCCCACAGATACAGCAAGTGTGAGTAGTGACTTGAATTTAAAAACCATTTTTAAAAGCTGATTTTAAGAAAAGAGAAGGTGCATGACTCAATGCTGGTCATCTTGATCTTTTGACAGGAAACTACGTAACAATGCCTTTAATGGGACATTGGACTTGGGTGACAATGTTGGCACTCAACTACAACTTGTTGATTTGCAGAACAACCAGATTTCCTCAATAACACTGGGATCTGGATATACAAATACTTTAATGTAAGACATTTCATTGGTGTTAATTTTTTCAGCTAGAATAATAATCTATATTTTTCCCCCCACCATACTTATTTTTCACTGTTATGTGATTCAGTCTTATAGGCAATCCTGTGTGCACAAGTGCTCTCGCAAATACTAATTACTGTCAGGTTCAGCAACAAAATACAAAACCCTATGCCACCAGCCTAGCTAATTGTGGAAGTAAATCATGTCCCGTTGATCAGAAGCTTAGCCCTCAGAGTTGTGAATGTGCCTATCCATTTGAAGGAACATTGTATTTCAGAGGACCCATGTTCAGGGAATTGTCCAATGTGAATATGTTTCATTCATTAGAAATGAGCCTTTGGGTGAAATTGAGCCTAACTCCTGGTTCAGTTTTCCTTCAGAATCCATTCTTCAATGTCGATGACTACCTTCAGATCCAGCTGGCACTCTTTCCACCAGATGGAAAATACTTCAATAGGTCAGAAATTCAGAGAATTGGATTTGATTTAAGTAATCAAACTTACAAACCTCCTCCAGAGTTTGGACCCTACTATTTTATTGCTTCTCCTTATACTTTCCCAGGTAACTGAAACCTTACTATTACTAAGATTTTAAGTTTGATCTTAACCTATAAGTGATGGATTGACAAATCAAAGCACAAATTTGCCTCAGCCTCAAATGGAACTTCTGTTAGCATTGGAGTAATCATTGCCGTAGCTATTGGGGGTGTCATTTTGGTTCTAGGCTTGCTTGGAGTTGGAATATATGCTGTTCGGCAAAAGAAACGTGCAGAAAAGGCCATTGGGTTGAGTAAACCATTTGGTAAGTAATACTTGAAATTTGGTATAGAAACAGGTATCTGGTATTGTAAAATTGTTTACTTCTGTATTGATCTTCTATATCTTCCAGCATCCTGGGCACCAAGTGGCAAAGACAGTGGTGGTGCACCACAGTTGAAAGGAGCAAGGTGGTTTTCTTATGATGAACTTAAAAAGTGCACCAATAATTTCTCTGAAAATAATGAACTAGGATTTGGAGGGTATGGCAAGGTAAATCTCCAAGTTTATCTAACGAGTTTTATGGATTACTGTTAGCAGTTGCTGAAATAGCCTTTATGTCCTCTGCAGGTATACAGAGGAATGCTCTCTGATGGACAATCGGTGGCAATTAAAAGAGCTCAACATGGATCAATGCAGGGTGGGCTTGAATTCAAGACTGAAATTGAATTGCTTTCAAGAGTTCATCATAAGAACCTTGTTGGTCTTGTTGGATTTTGTTTTGAACAAGGAGAACAAATGCTGGTTTATGAATTTATGGCCAATGGAACACTTCGAGAGAGCCTGTCAGGTTAGTTTACCTTACGTTGCAGGTATAACATGTGAGTTAAAGATGAAACAATGATTAGTAATTATCTTGGTGCATGAGATTGATTTGTTAATCGTGGGAGAGTGCCTGATTTTAGCATAAAAAATGTGGTGGTTGTCTTTGCAACAAGCTTTCATCTCCTACACCTTCAGGGAATCAGTCTTCTCTTTTGATTTTTCACCTAGAGCTTCACTTGTGTGCCTCATGGGAAGTCCATGGAAAGTCACCACTAATTTATGATTCAGGTTCTTGATGACTACCTCATTTAATATATGACATGGAATCACATTTGTTGTAGGGAGATCTGGCATTTACCTTGACTGGAAAAGGAGACTCCGCATTGCTCTTGGCTCAGCTAGAGGACTAGCTTACTTACATGAGCTCGCGAATCCTCCTATTATCCACAGAGATATTAAGTCTAGCAACATTTTGTTGGATGAAAATTTAACAGCAAAGGTTGCAGACTTTGGCTTGTCGAAGCTGGTATCAGACAGTTCAAAGGGCCATGTTTCAACCCAAGTTAAAGGCACATTAGTGAGTACTCTTTAACTTGTTACTTAAGATGCTTTTGGAATCGGATTGATTTTTCAGTTTTATGCTCTCGCTTCAATTATACCCCTGCAATCCACTCAGAGTTTCTGAATATGTAGAATATTTTTATTTCTCTAACTCTCAAATGATATTTTGTTGCAGGGTTATCTGGATCCTGAATATTACATGACCCAACAATTAACTGAGAGGAGTGATGTTTACAGCTTTGGAGTGGTAATGCTTGAACTTATAACAGCTAAGCAACCGATTGAGAAAGGTAAGTACATTGTGCGTGAGGTGCGAACAGTGATGAATAAGAAGGATGAAGAGCACTATGGCTTGAGGGAGTTAATGGATCCAACCATCAGAAGCACAGGAATGCTTATAGGACTTGGAAAATTCTTGGAGTTGGCAATGCAATGTGTTGAGGATTCAGCTACAGACCGTCCGACAATGAGCGAGGTGGTAAAGGCCATTGAAACCATTTTGCAAAACGATGGGATGAGTACAAACTCAACTACCTCTGCTTCATCATCTGCTACTGATTTCGGAACTGCAAAAGGTTCTCTTAGGCATCCTTATGGCGATAGTTTACCTAAAAAGGATAACAATGACAGCGATGCTTTCGACTACAGTGGTGGATACACACTTTCTGCAAAAGTTGAACCCAAGTAGATGATCCTTTCCTCCTTCCTCTCACAATTTTTTTGCTTTGGTTGTCTTCTCTTAGAATGAATCTTCACAAGTTCTTTTGTTCTAGATGAGCTATCCTTGTTATTAAGAGAGATGTTAATGTTTACCATGATAAATTGTAGTTTGTGAAATTAAAGAAAAGAACATTTAAGGGTGTTACTGTTGTGCAGCTAGGTTATAGAATTTCCAAGCATATTCAAGACTGACTGCATCTTCCTATCCTTGGTTTTGCTTTTACTTTTACTGGTAGTTATGTAAGTAATACCATTTATCTGCAGTATTATATGAACCTCTTTTGTTTTAATCTCAGGTTTCCATGTTTGGATAATTATTAGGTAGCACAGCCTCTAACTGAATTTATTCTTCTATATATATATAGTGTGTCCTCCATGGTACGTATGGGAAACAGGAATATATAGGCAAAAACAATATCAGCTATGCTAGAGTCTAGGCCTTAGCTCTGAATCCATGTATGGTATGGGGGCAGGGCAGTAGGCAGTAGCAAACTCAAAGATCAACCTTCCAAATTGCACCATCTCCTTCTCCGCAAGAGGAATGCACGTGTTTCATTCTCTCCACTGAATTGCATACTCCGCTGCACGACCAATCGAATGACGCCACGCAGATATTCCCTGCTTGAGCCTTCCATTCACAGTCTGACAGGCACAATATTGTTGGTTTTAGTTAGTTGAGGAACAGCAAAGATATGCATACGATTTGATAACCCAAAAGAGAGAAGAAGTTTAGCATACCTGGAGGGGTCCCACAGCACATGGAACGGTCGTCCACGTGTTCAACGTCTAAGCCAATCAACCACGATCCCAGAGACACGTCCTCATTGGCGTATCTATGCAAGATGGGGCTGCCAACCATTGTGAAATTCATGCCTCAGTCCCAAAGCATTCCATAAAAAGAGAAAGAGAAAAGAGAGAGAGAGAGAGGTGTGGAAGCAAAGACTGACGAGTTGATGGAAATATAGGCAGCCAGGTCCTTGGAGATGCCATATAATTGTCCAGTGGCATGCCTGAAGTACTTGTTTCCATCCTCTCCAAATTTCCAGTACTCTGGTTCGTGATATTTCACCCCTCTGCCGTACAATTACTTGTTATTATATTATGACTAATTTCTCTTGTTATTCTTTATAAAGAAATAATTAAAAATATGTTGCCAGTATACAATAATTATTAAAAATATAAAAAACTTACTTGCGAGAAAGAACAGGTCCAGACTTCATGCATCCGATATACACTCTGGGCTTGGATCGGTACTGTGCAAGCGTGCTGGCTAGCACACCTTTGCAATCAAAGCAACAATACCAATATATATTGCATGACTCGTTCTACCACCATAAGATTGAATCAAAAAAAGAAGAGAAGAGAAATGCTAACCTAAGTTGAGATGGACATCATCATCCACCTTCACATAGAATTGGGCGTCCCACATGGCCACAGCAGTAGAGAAATAGAGTCTGGTCTTGGTGGACAGCTGGTGGTATCCTTCCACGTGTTTCAGCCTAAGAAAGTCCTTGTGCTCTGCCTCTTCTCTGTCCAGTGCTTTATCCAGAACACCCCCTGGTGTGGCACTGTGCCCTATTACGAACCTTATAACAATCCCTTTCTCTCTCTCCAATTTCTTCAGTTTTTCTCCTGTAACACCACACCAACAATTCTCAACTGCCTAATTTTATGACCCATGTCTGGTACAATCCATTCATGCAAGCACATTTTCCATAAAGAAAAATTAAGGATCCAAAAAGACATGTTATGTTAGGGGACACAGCAGGACCTCTAGGCATCCATGTTTCTCGAACGGAGTCTCTTCTTTTCCTGCTGCTAAAAGCTGTGTTAATTCCAATAACCACAAAAGCCTTCTGCAACGTCTGATTAGATTTGCTTTCCAGGGAAAGTCCTCCAGCACTAGTCCTGCTCATACGAGCTACTGCTAATTCCATTTCCAAGTTGGAGATTGTTTTGTCAAGTGACCTACGTACAGTGCGGTTGGACATAAACATAATTAGATGGCATTTACTGAAACCGGAGGTTAATTTTGCACAATAACAAGAGGTATAAGCTCACTGGATAGCCTTGTGAGTTTTTGAGACTTCCCCCATAATATCTTCTTCCTTTCCTTCAGCCAATTTCTGATTAGAATGGGAAAAACTGACCTCAATCTGATAGGTTGCAGACAGCAACATATATATGATAAACAATAATAAAGGAATAAATTGGATAAACTGTAGTTAGCATGCATACACGTTTGCGATCAAAGTCACGGGCTACTTCTCCCAACTTATTGCTAGCATGCTTTTGAATGGGTGGAGTCGGATGATATTTGTCATGAGAAGTGTGAGCAGTCCACGTTCGGCTGGTAAACAGTGATCCTGCAAGAAAGCTAGCAAGACATAATACGAAAATGGCTTTCCCTGAAACTGCCTTTCCCCGCATTTTCTTGGACTCGTTGTCAAGCTGCCACGGGCACAAGGCATAAGAAAGACGCTGCATGCGATCCTGAAGTGATCAGATTCTTTTGAGGTTGCAGCACCTTGTTGTTCGTGGTCTTCACAAAGGCCCTTGAAGAAAACACAAAGCAAGAAGAAACTTAGGCTATTTTTTTCAGGTGAAGCTAAAGCTTGATATATGAAAAAACACATGCGCTCTGTACCTCTATGTATACACCATCACATGCTATTACCGTTCCTATATGGAATTAGTTCTAGAAAGAGTAGATGGAAAGAGGGAAAGAAATCCCATTTTTGTGAAAATTTTATGATTATGATACTTTGTCGATTTGATTGAAACAACTGGTAATGGTTTGCTAATGCTAGCTTTCAATTCCCCCCACGCCACTGAAGCCTACGATTTGAGCATATGGTCTCTACTCAAGCATGTCATGTGAGGCTATGTGCAATGTTAAGGCAAAACCCACCGAATATAGATACTCAAAAGTAAAATTCTCTTGCTTAGAGACACTCTTTAAGAAGAAATGAAATCTCTAAGCTGATACCGCCCCAACAATTCAGAACAAATTAGGATTCTAATGCTACAAAAAATATGTGCTGTGCTTTGAGTCTTCCTGCATTAGCTAATGAATCCCTTTGATTATCAGGATTCATCAATCAAAGGAAGGAGTGGGAAAATCATAAGAGTCCCTTTGATCATATGCAGCCGGCATGAAAGTAAAACTCTACAAGAAGAAAAAGAAGAAAAAGTTGACTTGAAGAAGCAAGATGATGATGTACATCGATGTACTTAACAGTTAAACATTGCTTCAATTCTATTGTTAATATAATTTAGGAGAAGCAAATACTGAAAACAACATAAACAGAATAAAATATACTAGTACCTTTCCGAATCATTCAGGATTGGGGCATCATTGACTGAGAAACGTTGCTATCGATTGCTAGCTAACAGCCATCCTCAAGCAAAATTTCTTATATTGTAACTTTCCCTTACTCTATATATCCTAGCTAGTTTTAAATTACCTGAGCGCGCGGCCCTGGTTGCTGGGTTTGGCAGTTGGACCATGTTGTTTTCATGGTTCAACAAACTGTCAGCAGCTATTACAGAAAAAGAAGTTCATTTGTTTGAGGTAATCGGTGACGTTTACGTGTGTATTTGTGTGCGCGCGCGTTAAGATGTTTCCTGTTATGCTTTGTGTGTAGCATAGACTTAATTAAAACAGTAAGCTAGCATATG